AATCTTACTTTGTATATATACAATTATACAATAGCATTCAATATTATCATGTTTCTGATTGATTCTTATCTTATTCTTATCATGATCGATTCTCATCCAATCAGCAGCCTTGTGACATGAAATTATGAAGTTCCTGTTATCGTGAGTTTGCTCGTAGCTACGATGTGTTTCTGTCTACGCTACTCTTGTAGCATTAACATTAGTCGTAAGTGTTATCGTAGCATTAACATTAGTCGTAAGTGTTATCGTAGCATTAACATTAGTCGTAAGTGTTATCGTAGCATTAACATTAGCATTAACTTTACGATGTTTCTGATAACGGGCCTCTGCAGGACTTGTGCTCTACTTGTCATATCAATTCACACATTGTGAGTACAGTTCCTTGTTTGTTTGTTTTGGTATTTCCGATAATCGATTATTTGTTTTCATAATCGATTATCGAATTTGAGACTATAATCGATTGATTTTCGATTATAATCGATCATCGAGACATCACTATGCATAATCACACTATGTTATGACAAAATAAACTCTAGTTCTTCCCATTTCACTGCGCGTTGTCTTATAAAAGGCATTTGAAAATACCTCCAATGTTGTTCAAATTCTCCGATGTTGTTGATAGTTTTGCGTTGCTCTGCCAAGCAACCGTGGAGCGGTGCTGCGGTACAGCGGTATGGGTGTAGCAAAGATAAAAACATGTGACGTCACCTAACCGATTTTTGGCGAAATTGTTTGGCAAACAATTTAGCGTTGGCGCCAGATTACCAGATTTCGCACCTTTTTCTTGTGGGTTTTAAGCAAACGCGCACTGAAATGGGAGGAACTAGAGTTTATTTTGCCATAAGGTTGTGTGATTATGCATGACACGAAGTATTTGCTATAGTCTAGTACTGGAGAAATTAGCGTTTGGATGCGCATAGTGTGGCTTTAACTGCTGCATAAGAACAAAAACAGGATAAAATTAGTTTATCACCACCTATCACCACCAGTCAGATCAGCACCTATTGTTAACTAGCAAATTTCAAAGGGATAAATTGTGGAATGACCTACATCCATATAAATAATAAATTGCTCACTAAAGCAAAGATATCATACCGACAAGAGCGTATAAAGAAGGAGAGCGTACAACGGTGAAATGCTGAAACCATGTTGCAGTATTAGTCGAATTAATAAACTTTCCCCATTTTCTTTTGACGATTCTTTGCGGTATTGTTGATCAGCTGTCCTACCTTGTTAATATAAAACAAACTGCTTGTTCCTACGATGCTCCTACGCTGAGATAATGAGCGGTGGAAATCTTGTATTTTCTCCGAAAACCGACTCGAGATCAGTGTGTACTGCGACTGTCTCTCGTTTTGTGGCCATTGTGTTGCTTCCGGTCGCCGCTGGTGGCGCTGACTGATTACGTCATTAAGTACTACGGAATTTACTACAGGCAGCCTGAGGTGGGGGTCATCACTATGGCAATCAATAACAACACGTCGTGGAGTAATGGCCGCGTCTATGATTTCCACTTTTTGCCGTTTAGCTGCCAACCGAGGCGATTTTCGGAGAACCACATCATGAGTCTTTGTTCGTTTAATCGGGGTAAGTCTAGGCATTTCTTTTTCGGTGGCAGTGCTAGTACTTGCTACAGGAAAGAGTTTCTTTCTAGGTCCAGCACTCTGGCGAGGTAGTCCAAGTTTTGGAATAGCTCGTGGAACTGGATGTTCTGCCATTGCACTGACTTCACACGTTATACAGGAAAGTTGTAAATTGTAGTTGCAGTCGACGCAGATGAACACAAAGAAAACAGTTGGCGATGTATGGTATGGTCTACCCAAAGTTCCTTGCGCAACAAACAAGTTTACATTCATCTGAATTTTCAATGAATAACGGAAACACGCGAGGTTTCCCGAAGCAGTACACACTGATCTCGAGTTGGTTTTGGACGAAAAGATTTTCACCGCTCATTATCTCAGCGTAGGGGCATCGTAGGGACATGTGGTTTGTTTTATATTAACAAAGTAGGACAGCTGATCAATAATACCAAGAGCGCATTAACCCCAGAGCGTACAACGCTGAAATAGGAAAACCATGGTGTCGTTTCAGCAAAATTAACAAAGTTTACCTACCTTATTTTGATACTTCTCTACTGGAATATTATGCAGGAGTCATAGCTAGCCAATATAAGATCAACCGCTTGTCTCTACGATGTTCCTATGCCGAGATATAAAGCGATAAAAATCGAGTACTTCTAGGGAATCTTAGCGCCATATCACTGAGTAACACGCCTATCGCGCGTTTAGTGACTACATAGAT